TTCTTAATAAACAAATATAATTAAGTTATAGTCAAAGTTCCACTACGCACTTTCTTTTCAAGATTTGTATATGACATTATAAATTATTTTATGATTTTGCCTTCAAATAGATAATAAATATAATGACAGATTTTATAAAACCTAGAAACCTTTTTGCAAGTAAAATGGAGAGGGAGTGTAGATACTGCAAAATGTCAACAGTAGTGGCGATATACTAATGCTAACACGAATAAGTGCCTTAAAAGTTTACTCCACTTTTGACGTCTATTTCTATTAGGCTTTGCTTTGTACCGTACATACATTCGCGTAACTCTAAAACATTGTACTTTGGCTGTACAGAACTCCGACATCCAAAAAGGCCATTGTTTATAAAGGGCTCATACATTTTTCCTGCACTCGTTTTAAGTGGTGATAAATTATAAACTTAACCTTGGCCACGTTTGTTTTGGTTTAGCGTCTGGAGACGCATGTGCTTATCGTGAGAACCCCTTCAACGTTGAGTAGGTTAGTTATATAACATTTAACTATGTGAGAAGTATACTTATCATGAATTAACTAAATACTTAATTGGTTATATACTTTTAAATTTATTCGTTTCAAATTATGTTCACAATCAAAATCAATATCGTTTGAATTTATTAATTCATCGGATTTTGAATTCGATTTCCGCTCAGTATCAGTATCACGCTCATTAGCATTATCCAGGATAAAGCTAGTTAATAATGCAGACAAAATTGAATACACCCATTATTTAGCTGTGTTTATCTAAATAGGTACCATAGTATTTCGAAATCATTACTTTATAGAAAAGCAACGAAATCTTCTTTTGCAACATTCTCTGTCGTATAATACTGTATCATATCTGTTATCGTTATAATATTTCATAGTTTATTGGTCACATTGTAATCTTTGTATATTTATAACACGTGTCGCTTATATCTTATCTCTTGTTGCGGCTACCGCAGCATCTTATTATAAAAAGATTTTATCAGCGCCCCGTAAAGTCTAACATAATTATTATGACCGTAACGTTTTGCTTTTATTATAAAAACTTGTAGTTTATTAAAGCCGATATATGCGGCTTTTCTTAAATAATTGGTTGGTCGAGTTTAAGTCCCATATAAAAATATATATGGATATTGCGATTTATGAGTATTCTGTGTATATTTGGTTAGATATACGAGTGTTGTTTATAAGGCTACTATTTTAGTACCATGTCGGACTGCGAGCCAACATTAAAATGCTGCAGTTAAATCCGGTTATTAGTTTAAAGGCGAGTATAAATTGGTTCTCAAAATTTGAATACTGTAATCACTGAATATTTAATTATATTATCATTATAATTAGCAGCCTTTTAATGCACAATTTTATTGAACACTTGTCTTCCTTTTGGATGGAATAGGAATTACAGCCGATGCACTGCGTAGGCCATATAGATTACAAACCTATTTTTCACGCACCCCTTCAACCGGCTGCTTTGAAAGTTGTCTTACCTCCACTAACTATCGCATTCTCATCCCGATAACTACTGGGTCATCCAGTTCCCCAAAGGTCAAAGATACGAAATCCTAAATCACGTTTACTGAAACAAAAAAGAACTAAAGAATAAGGTACTTTAAGACACTATAGAGCTTGTGACCCTGTCCAAATTGAGCACAGGCAAACTTTTATAGAACCAAACCAATTACCTACTTGATAGGGATATACGTGTATATAAGTCTAAAATATTCCATGGGGGAAAAATATTTATTTTGTTAGATTTCGCTTTCTAATGCTGTACTTACCTGATGAATTGTATCCTTATTAATGACTTTTAATAAAGATTTTGTTTAAACTAGCCAATTACAAATAGGTATATGTCATTAATACGTGTAGTAGTGCTTACGTGTGCAATGGAGCACGTAAAATGTATCAACAAACCCTCGACCGTCACGGAAGTTCACGTCAAGTGTACTTGAAACAAACAAATTTGAACTACCTATCAATGATCGAATCAGGGTCGGACTATTGCTCTCACGAAATAAGCCAATCTTCTCATTGAACAAGGGTTAATCTTGTCATGTTATTTATTACCCGCAGATTTGTTAATTTATAGCTTAACATAAAACCACCTCTACGTAACTTGAAATAAGAAACAATTAACAACAAGCTCTTCATTTATCTGTTATTTGTTATCAATGACCTTTACCCATTGCCTGTATTAGTTTGTGGGATCAATGGAGATTTTGACAGTATTAATTGAAACTTCCTTTTCAAACGTCAATCAGAATTATTTATAATAAACATTGAATGTAAAGGGTCTAACAAATTCTGCTGAAATTGGCTAAAATATTGTCCACTTTTGAAACTTTTACTTGCACTTTTGATTTGACATTTGAGATGGTAAACAAATCTCCATCTCCATTGAAATCAGTCAAAATTAATCTGATCCAATAAGTGGTATATAAATAAACGATTTTATGGCAGCTGCAGAAAGTTTGAAATTGAATTAACGTTGACAAATTACATCACTTCAAGTCTTAAAAGATGCTACTTTAAGAGTTCTCTTCTTCAAATCTCGGATTGACACATGTTTACGGGCCTCTTGATAATCCAAATAAATATTATTGAGATTTGTTTACACTGCGCTGATGCAACTCTGAGAAATGTCGCGATAGGACAGTAACGACGTAACGGCAACGTTGGTAGTATATTTTGATAATTTGATTATAGAATGTTTACTTCTTGACAAATTTAAGTACCTACCTAGTAGCTATATTATTAGAGTCATTTCATTTTCATTCAAGTCACACAGATGAAATAAATATTGGTAGCGTTTCAGACATTGATCAGAGGGTAAATATTGAAATTATTAAATAAATAAGAAAACGTTAGACTGACTTTATGCCTACCTATTATTTTTACTAACAATATCTTAGTAGCATCATTTCTTTCTCTCTAGGTTATTTTCAGAGAAGCCAGGCCTGGTTCAGATGACATTCTTGTCCTTTACGGTGTGATTTCAAGGGTCCAGCCCTCGTTATGTCGTTATGTATTATTGGATAAGGGAAAGGGGTTTTATGAAATTCTGACTAAAACGAAAACTAAATTACAGTCAGTGGTCCTCGGGCGAGTAGAGTGTAACCAATTTAACGAGGACGAAAGGGTCGGAAATGGTTATGTTTGTTTATAATATAAGAGAATTTATTTATTTGTATAAAATGACATTTTTGAGATTAGGTACTCTAGTATTTGGACATCGCGCATCGTTTATTCAAATAACACTGTACTTATTATGATACAAATGAAAAAAAAAATGCTAGCGAATTGAGAAGATAGAACCGCTATTTAGATTGGTTGGATATCATAATGGGGAAAGGCAAATCTAATTTAATATAATAAATTTTGCCTGAGTATAAACTCATGTTTGCTATATATATTCATATTATCGTATTTCATAAGAAGACAATTGTAAAGTAACAAATTGTAAATTTTCCTATTTAAATTTTCCATTGAATAATATTCAGGTTTGGAAAATCCAGTCAAGGGAGTTTATTCTTCTATTAAACATCAACCATAATTATTATTTAAATAAGTATGATGATGATGTCGATTCTGGCATTATTCTCTAAAGCTAAACTTAAATTTGACAACAGTGCATTCCTGTCATTCTCTATACAGAATGAAAAGAAGAGACTGATGTTAAAGGAGATTGGTCAAATTGGCCTAAATGCAAATAAAATATTGACATATACAGTAATTCTTGGCGTAATTGATACTTTATTTTACAGTCATTAGATTTTAACGGCCACCTTTAAATAATATATTAATTTTAAAAAAGGACTTCTATTTTTACCGGTTTGGAAAACATACGAATCATTTTTATTGGCTATGGGTGTAGTAACATTCACAAAGACTGATCGAGGTTGTTTATATAACATCAAAACAAATCTATTTTGTAAAGATTGATAAAATATATTTTTTTTTATTACACGGGTGGTATTAATATCCACAACTTTATTATCATTTTTACTACATGCAAATGTGCTAAGACAATTAATATAGATGGTAGGCGACATCATAAAATCTATTGCCGTACATTTTTTTGCCAAACACCTAAATAAACACATTATAAGGTGTGATACACTAAAAATCTAAAATATGGTTATAATAAAAACATAACAAAAATAATGAAGCTGCTGAAGATATGGCTGTATAACCTACAGCTCTTAGCTTTCTTTGATTAACGAGAGTTTAAAAAATCTCTCTAATCTGTGGCTCATTCACAATCATCACACAGTTTCTGTTCGTGTTTTTAAAAACATGCACATATCTGTTATTTTACATGCTCTATATACCTGAATCTAATACATAATATCGGTAGGTACTTGGCTTGATTGCCCTATTTTCCTATATAAGTTATTTGGTTTTTATTATTCTAATACCTATGTGCCTATTTGCAAACTTATGTTTGCTTATAAGGCTTTGGTTATCCTCAAAATCATTCAGTGTATATGGTTTATAGAAGTTCTCAGGAGTGGCCGTCGATAATATTCGTTTCTACGGTAATTTATATATAATTTCGAATGTAGGAAACAATTTTTCATGGTTATTGGTTTTTAGGCCAAACATGTATGGAAGCTGAGCAATCTCCTAGTTTTAAGTTTAGAGAATCACGCCAGAATCGACACCAATACCATCTTAAAATATTTATCGTGTGGCGTTTCCTATTCTTCGCATTACAAACTATGTTATTGAGAGTATGATTGATTTCTTCGTCATGTAAGATAATTATATCGAAAATCAACTTTAAGAAGATTTTAACATCCATCTTGTCTACGCTAAATATATATAGATTTCATACTTAGCTCTATTTTACATTTAGGTATGTGGAATTGTTTAAGTAAATAATTAATATTCCTGGTATCTTTGTCCACAGATGAACATAGAGGAGACCATGTTTAACAGACTACCCTTAAAACGGTTAAAATCGTGCTAACATGTGGCAGTGAACCGGTAAAATGGATACATTGGCTTTTGTGACGTCATTACTGGGTCTTTTTTGCTTGTACACAGGTAATTAAATTACACCTTTTTTATCAACATTTTGGTTTTTTTATTTATGGATTTATTAAAGAAGCCAAAATAATTAAAATCCTTATTGCATAAATGACGGATAAACTCCAATAGATTATTTTTCCGAATTTACAATCGTTGGTTACATTGCAACGGAAACTTTGACCTAATATTAATTACTTTGATTTTTTTAAATTCGAATAAGACTAAACTTGAAAGATTCGTTTTGATTAAAGCCAAAAACATAATGTTAAATCATACATTTTTTAGTTTGGGCCAAGTTTACAGCAAATTTAATCTTAAAAAAAAATACAAACGCAGCTAAGTGTTGTGATTACTTGCCAAACGTATCACGGACTCGATCGTAAAATGGAAATAACTAGCCAAGTCAGAGTTCAAACAGTGCTAATAGCTCGGTATTCACCCACGAGGGGTAGATTCCCCCACACTGTTTGATATTTAGTGCCTTGCCGTACCATCTAAGATTTGTGGCAACACTTAGCGATGCCGAAAATAACCGTGTCATTCTGGCAATACCGCCTTAATTTGTCGCTGGTGATATAAATGGGGCTAATCTTATGGAAATATAGTTACGATAACAATGCTTAATTATTTAAATTATGACTTTTAATGTACTTTTATTGAAATTTCTTTTACGATCAGTGCGTATACAGTAAATTAAGATTATTTTTACAAAATGTAGGAGCTCGATGGCCAACTGTTGGTTAGGGTATTTATTCGGCCTGCGAACGTGAAAGTTAGTAACTTTCGTAATGGTCGGTCATTGGATGTGTGACCAAAAACTTAGTATCTCGAGCTTCTCCATGCTTTGAAAGGCACGTTTAACTGCCGGTCCCGGCTACATCTGCAGTCGTTAGCACCCACCAATTGGTACAAGGCCCGCGTGGTGGGTCACGGCCCTGTCTCCCTATTCCATCCAAAGGGAAGGCCTGTGCTCCTGCAGTTGAGACATTTATAGGCTGATGATGACAGTCACGGCCTAAGCGATGGTTAAAGTTTTAAAATAATATTACTGTGAAGTAATAAGAGCAATGTCTTTGAAAACTCGTTGACTGAAACTATACTATTATTACATTAGTAACATGTTTAATTATATTTCAAACACTAAATGATATCATAAAAACACATAGCTGCATGGAAGCAACACTTTTCAAATTCTACTATGTTTATAAGCAAAAGGTAAATTAACAATTCAAGTATACGTCTTCGTCTTAAAATAAATATAGGAGACAACAAATATAGGATATAAAATAAATATAGGAACAACTTACAAAATCCCTAACAACACTCTCGGGACCAAATCACGGAGGAAGCGTAACTTATTGACAGAACTCATTAGTGTAACAAAACACACATGCGTATATTAACTGTCGCATCTGCCGATTGAATGTTTTACAATCAACCAACAGACTATAAAAATTCCACGTCAGAAAACTCGCAGTTCCCCAGTGTCACGTTGATTAAATTATACTACACTGTGTTGTACGCCGTTCTGTAAAAAAGACACCCCAGTCTGTTAACAAAGCGTAAAGAAGTTAAGCTAATGTTAAACGACGCCCATCCTTTGTGGCTAATGCGTGATGGATGCTGCGTGAAATGCAGTAGAGACGCATAATAAAAATAAACGGAATCAATCGCTCGGGGTGGTTTACAATAGCCTCGTACACAAGTCCAGTCATTGTAATCCAGAAATTGAAAAATGGCTCATATCTTAGATGTAGTTTATAAAAACACTTTGACTCTTTTATGAATATCAAATCCGGTGACCCCTATAAAATATAAAGACTTTTACACCATACAAACATAAGCTGTATAATTTGGACCAGAATAATGATATCGTTAGCGGAAGTCCAAAGAGCATAAATGAGTAGGTTGGTACTTCGGCAACAAAACAATTTTTGAATGTTTTCTTCAAAGCGCGCTTCCAGCGATTGTTATCGACATTGTCTGCCTTAAATATAGATGTCGTGTCTCATCGGCAGTTTTATCGCTAAGGGATATCGCCAAAAGTTTTTTTTTTTTTACTTATCTTGCTCGCCTCAAACGAATACCGATCAGATACTGCAAGTTTGCAAACTAAATCTTTTTTGTGTTTATTTAGTAGCCTCCCCTGGGTAGCGATACGTCTTATTGAATGACAACGGCTATTGACCATTAATTCTTTTGTTTTTCTTTATTAAGCTGTAATATTTCTTCCAAGTTGGTTTTAAAGTGGAAGATAAACACAGTTGAATTAAGAAATGGGAATTGAGTTGACCTCTTTGTGGCGTTGCTGCTTGTTAACCAAGCATTTCATCAGTGAGGGTATTTCCATAGTATCAGTATGTAACTTCGACATGCCATTTGGCGAAGGTGGCTATTTTGGGTGACCTAGAGCTTGGTCAATTCTAATGAGATACTGATTGAATTTAAACATAGATAAATATATGTATTATATTATGATGTATTAGCTTTTCACTGGAGAATAAAAATAAGATGTGTGAGTATGGGTCAAATATCTCATGTAGCATTGTGGTTAAATGTAGAATTGAAATAATATCTTGGGTAAGTACTACATACAATAAATATTTATTAATAAAATTAATATCGCAGAACTTGCTGTTTCTTTCTTTGTTATAAAAAAAAAATAAATCACGAGACTTTCAAAAGGGCATTAAAATTGTTTGATGTCTCTGGGTAATCGTAAAAGTCATAGAATATATTTATTTTATATATCTTCCTAATTATCAAGACTAAAAATCTTACTCTGAGGATTTTCCTTTAGATTCGTATTTCCTAGTAAAAAAAAGTTTATAGTTCGTTTTTATGAAACCACGATACAAGTGAAACTTTTGAAGTTTTTTACATCGCTTCAAAAAAACTGGCTTATAAAAAATGGAAAATGAGTTCCAATCCGGATCGAGCCAGGGTCGCCCGCACACAAGATGAACTTTCTACCACTGATGCTTGTTGTAACGGTCTGATTTTTGAATAACAATTTTAAAATATAATAATGTCACATGCTAAAGATGAACGAAAAATAAAAGTTTCACTTTGAGGGGAGGCGGGCGACGTTATTTCCATACAAACGTTCTCGAACAATTCCTCCTTGACTTTTATCACTAAAGAAGTGATTCTCATACACAAAATATAATTATACTCATTCTATGCATAGGAGTATGAGTAAGTCTTCTTCTTTTAACTTGGGTTTCAAAGAAACTAGAGCCCTCAAAACTGCCGAAAATACACAATTTTTTATCACCACTAATGACGTCTAGGGTGGTGATTCAATAAGAATTTACAGAAAAAAGGAAAACATAGGGGCCTAGTAAAAATGAAAATTTGTTTCTCTAAAAAACTAATTAATTATCGAAGAGGAAATTTTCGAGAGCCAAACGTCGAATTTTGCAATATTCATACGCAATTTTCAGCGATAGCAACTGTTGTCCCTATCGCAGGGTTTTTGTTAGTCAATTTGCTAATCCGCGACAGCAATAGTTTTTTTAAATACGTTTGCTCTAATCAGTCTCCCAGCTCATCTCCGCTCTCGAAAGAGAGCAGTTAACGGCGCCCTCCTGAATAATATACAGCTTGTTGTCTCACTTGTCCACGCGCCAAATCAACAATAAACAGGAAGTAAGAAACGTCACAACTGTCTCTCCAGGTTTCCGTAAACTCTGTCAAGAAAATAGCTACAAATTGAGACCAACCAAACTTTACATTGTCAGGCATAGCTTATCAAACTAAACGTCTCGTAGTAAAGTTGAAATTGCAACAGTTTTCATTCGAAAAATGTAATAGAAATTCAGCTGCTACGGAACGTAACTGTGTCCACGTTTCTTGCAGGTACGTCGGACCCTATGAAACATGGGACTGTGTCAACAATTTGTCCCTCCATGCATTAGTAGAACGCCTTACAAGACAAACACTGTAAACTCACGAATTTCATATTATACTAATACCTCCGTCCGTTTGAAACGGCTAATTCCGAACACATGTGCAGAGCGCGTTGGAGTTTTTGCATCGTGAAATATAAGTGCTTTTTCATTTGCCGTGACATTTCATTGCCTGTTTTGTTTCTCTGGTGCTGTTTGGGTTTATATTTTAGTTTATGGCGGGTGTTCTGTTCCTAGCGTGGCAAGTCACAAAAAAATAAACTTTATTCCTGACCTCGTAAGAACTGCTTTAGATACACCTCGTTCGACAAAGTGATAAGTTTAACACTGATTTGTAAGTATGGCTAATTAAGCGGAAATGTCTTTGAAAGCAGACAGGGCTTAATAACTCCATCAGTTTCGAATGGCAAAGAGGGTTGCAAAATTGAACACGTGTTCTAAAATTCGAATATCGTGATTGCCTCCTGTGGGAGCCAATCATCGCTATTAGAATTAGATATTCGCAATTTAGATCTATATCAAATTACTGAGGGTGACATTTGCGAACAGGAGAAATTTCTCATTAGTGTTCATTTCAAATTGGAAAATGTTGCTAAGTTTGATTGAGAGATAAAACTTTTATAAAGCTGTAATAATTTTAGGGGTAGTTATTATATTATTGTACAGATTTCCATTTTAAAAACGATATATTTATTTTTAAAGAAAAACATTGTGTACAGGAATAGATGATGAACAGAAAACAGATTTATTAGGTAACAAGAAAATATTCGCATATTAATGTCATTTTGAGGTACCAATTAATAGAGACAGAGTTCTTTTTAATTGATTCACAAATTAAAGAAATGTTTGCTTAATTACAGTTGTTTAAAATTCAAAATGATATTAAAAAAAAAAACCTTTGACTGTTTTATATCGAAGGGGCCACTTAAAACCGTAGTAAACCTGGTTTCTGCGTCGGTATAGTGCAATCATGTGTTCACAAACTTGAGGGCTATCAATTTCCAACTGCCAAAAAAAATTATATAACCATACATTTTCAAAGCAACGTGGATCATTCGGCGAGGCGGTAGCCGCGTTACTATCGAAGTTAAATGCGAAACTCGTGTTGTCGTAACTGTTTTTTTATTTATTTTTTCACTCTCGACGCGTGTCAACATGTGCCAGTAGTATAAATTAGCAGGGGACGGGGGGCACCCTTGCAAACTTTTTTTAGACGAAGATTTTGAACAATGGTCCGTAACTATTCGCTTGTGCGTGAGAGTTGAAAAATCACTCCCTTCGGGCGGTGGCGTAGGCGAGTTGCAGTTGTTTGCGACGCATGTACTTCGTCATTAAGCCGAATTATTATTACTTTAGAGTGTGGGATTGTATGCTATTTCGTTAGTGTCTGTATATATTCTTACACAAATTGAATGAATGAATACAATTATTGGTACATTAAAAATAGATAGGAATAAAAAACATAAAAAAATTACACAATACTGACAAAACGGCAAAAATGATGACGATGAATGATTTTCAGCGGCAACCCTAGTACCATACCCAGGATGACAATTCCACGTACGAAAAAATATTATATCGTAAGTTATAATCTTAGTCGGAACTGTTTATGTTATTACAATAAACGTATGATCGTTAAAACAGCATTGACATATTAACTTGTAAATCCGCATCTTCCTTCTGATGGTTTTGATTTTATCCCTTACGGTTAAAAATTAAGCAATATACCACATTTGGATTTAAAATGTTCTTCGGAAACAATATCGAACAGCCTTTGACAGTTTCTGAATACGCACTCTGCGTTGATTTTGCTAGGTTTTTTTTTCGCTCCCAATCTAGCATGTGAGATTTATCGTCGATGATAGATTATAGTTGTTTTTTTTAATGTTATTATACCACGTTTTGTGAGACAAATATAAAATACGCTGGCATTATGATTATTCCTGTACCAGTTGGTAAAACTTTGGACATGCAGTCCCAAATGGTATAAAAATGTAAGCATCTGGTATATCTTGTGTTAATATTATCTCCTAGTACAGCTAAAAATGCTAATCCAACGCGAATTAGTATTTTTATATTCTTAGGTATACTTGATGGTATACCTAATATTGATTGTGAAAGTACCTTAATGATGATATTAAAGTCTAACTTTCTAAAGACATAATATCTTACAGAGTTATCCTTTGGAGATTACCCAAAAAGAAACGATAAACCTTCATAAATTCGATACCTATAATAATCGATCGAGTCGAACGAAAAACTATGCGATAAAGTAACTTTTACGTTCGATAAACTTACTCATTCAGATCAACATCAACAATATTTTATGTCCAACGCAATCTGCTGAATCTTATTTTTATATCACTTCGTCTGATACAAGTGTATATCAGGGTATGTTTCGAGACTTCAAAACCTTATATATAGTGGCTATAAAGACTATTGTCCTCCACCAACTCTCTAGTTATAACAGCTAAACTTATTGCTAGAGTGCTTTTATGACATTGACATTTAATTTATTATTGCCACACCGGACGACCGAGCAATATATTCTGTTAAGTATTGTATCATTCATTGGATGCTCTACATTTACAATAAAATATTTGCTACATATATATTGAAAGACACTATAAACATGTCTGTCTCGTATAAATTTTTGGCCTCGCATTTTAAACAAGGTAGTAAATATAAATTTGCGTAAATATTAGTAACTTATTAATGATCAATTAACTTTGATTGGTTGATAATGCCACTTTCCTGTCAGCTTAGAACAATTTAGCTCTTCAATGTGGAGACCACTAAGTGATTTTACTCTACTTAGGGCCACAAACGCCTGTCCAGCCGCAAAAGTACGGGCCCTAAGTACATCACTGCTTGGTCTACCGTACAGATTTGCATCTTGTGCACGGTAGATTTGGCCCAACTTAAAATCACTGGGAGCATGCGTCTTTCCACCGTACCGTTGCTATACTTGGCTGGGAACTGGATGCCTATAGGCTGAATTAGATGCTCACCGACGTTTCCGAAATTAACTTTGATGGACTTTAGATCAATTTCATACATTTGGTCGCGTCGCATCAAGTCCTTAGTAGAAATGAACAGAACATGTTAAGGCGAATCTAACTAGACCAAACTCGATATATGTACTAGTAGGCAGTCCAAAGTTCCATCAGCCACTTCCCAGTCCATCCTCAAGTCCTCGTCATCAGGAGAAATGAATAGAATATGTTAAGGCGAATCTAATGAGCTCAAATTCGATATGTTTACTAGTAGGCAGTCCAAGGTTCCATCAGCCATCTTCCAGTCCCATCATCAGACCAGTTCGATGGTACCATAATATTGTATTGTTATCTAATCTACATATAATTGTAAAGTTTTATTATGTTAAGGCGAATCTAATGAGCTCAAATTCGATATGTTTACTAGTAGGCAGTCCAGCGTCCATCCAACCACCTTCCAGTCCATCGTCAAGTCCTCAGTAGAAATGAACAGAATATGTTATGGCAAATCTAACGAGCCCAAACTCGATATGTTTACTAATAGGCAGTCCAAGGTTCCATCAGCCACCTTCCAGTCCCATCATCAGACTAGCTCGATGGTACCATTATATTGTGTTGTTATTTAATCTACATATAATTGCCAAGTTTCATGATGATACAAGAATTAGAAGTGCGCGTAATTCAGATTCTTAGATTTCATTACATAGTTTCATACAAGTGGACCTAACAAGCGTGTTAAAAACCTATATAGGTAATTTATTATGCTTACTTTATCGTTATCTGAGCTGAAAATAAACGGCTATTATATTAGCTTTCTCTAAAAGAAAATAAAATGTAAAAAGCTAACAAAATATGGGAAATAATAAAAATATGGGTCTCCGCACAAAAATCGAACGATAGCAAATCGAATGGAGATTCAATTATAGATTAGCCCTTGTATCGCACCGCATTCACAACGTTGGGACACGTGAATAAATAAACACAATTACTTTGCACAATAGACTGATCCTTATTGATTTTACGTAGATATAAAACCCTGTCCCTAAAATGCAGTCATGGTCCATCTAGGAGGTTCATTTTGTCAAAATCCGAACACTGTATATTTTTTTTTCCTGATCGATTTTAACGTTGCTATATAATACCGACGCTTAACAATAGACATACATCAATTCGAGTGTCAAAAACTAACATCTGCGCGTTTCGTTGTAAACAGTAAAATGGGTAAGGGGGTCCGAAACAGCATCCTTGGGGGACCCACGTTTCAGAAAGCCTGTGTTTATGGCTCATTATTATTGTGCACCGTATTGGAGTAGCTGCAAATGACATACTCAACCTATTATTAAAATAAACCGTAGTTCAGGCCTTTTGTTAGGTAAATTTAAAATAATGCTAGCAGGAAATTGCCATGGGTGGGAGCATGCAAGAGCGAGCGTCGCCTTTCATTAGAAGCGGGCTTTAACACGCTAACTGCAATCGCCACTCGAACTGCAGAGTGTTTACATGGTAATCAATACGTTGCATAAAGGGTTGTGGGATAAACATAGTCGTATTGTCAACAGGTTTCGTTGAGGGTGGAATAAGCGACGACTACGTTGGAAGTGGAGAAGCCCCATATATCATTGAACAACCTATAGATATCACGGTAGCTCGTCACCAGCCTGCGACACTTAACTGCCGCGCTGGTGGCTCTCCAACGCCCAGCATTCGTTGGTACAAGGCAGGAGTATTAGTGGTATCTGATACGCACAGAAGTCTGCTGCCAGCAGGCGGATTGTTCTTCTTGAGAGCCACTCATGGAAGAGCTCATTCAGATGCCGGGGTTTACTGGTGCGAAGCTACCAATCCTTTTGGTACTGCTAGGAGTAGAAATGCTACCTTACAAGTAGCCGGTAAGTGTCATATAAAATATTGTCAACGTAATTCTCCTTGTCAATATCGCTTTATAATTTACCCTTTGTACTTACAACTATTCCCATTTTTACTAGTTGGGTAAATGCCCAAATATCTTACTTTGTCACTTTATTGCTTTTAGTTCTACGTGAAGAATTCAGATTAGAACCAGTAGCCACACAAACAGCACAAGGCGAAACTGTAATACTCGAATGCTTGCCACCGAGAGGATTACCAGAACCATCTGTTTTCTGGAAGAAGAACGGCCAAGTACTCCATTTCGATGGAGACTCAAGGTGAGCAATTTTTTTAATGATTACAGAACTGATTTTATTTATTTTATCTTCCAAGTAAAATAATGATTATAATAAGTATCTTAAAAAGTTACAGCCGACTTTATATATAAACAGAATCGAAAAAGTTTTTATCAATATTGTTTTAATGAAATTGGAACTCGCATTTAAAAGTCTGTTTGGAAGCACCGTAAGCAAAATCTAACGAACGCAGAGAGAGAACTGATGAAACTTTGTCTGAGCCAAATTCAATGGTAGGTAGCAGATGAGTGCTCTCGTCGAGCTAAGTGGGATGGTGGGATGGAAATAGGATAGTACAGTGAATTGCTTCTTCGGGCCCGTTTGATACCCGATATAGTGTGTGCCTTAAAATTAGGTGGCTCCCTACCTACCTACTTTGGAAATTCTGTTTTTATCCTTTATCACTAATATTTAGAGATTTTTTATCCTTCTACACACTGTACTGAAAGTAAACGAAAAATAGAATGGTCGAATTCAGAAATAGTCATATTACGAGGTACTCTTCAACAAAAGTGGTTAAAACTAGAAATGGTAAAGTGGTGTCCAAATGTGCACCCATTTAATACGAACCGATGATTAAAGTATACTTACTCGTATGTTAAAACAAGCGAGAGTACAAATGATTGAAAATTCTAAAACATTATTATGCTTAGTTAGACATAGATACCGTAACCATATAATGTCGTTAATTAGTATAAAATGCATGGAATACATCCAGTTCAACCAACACGTGTTCATGATTCAATCGTACCCTATTTGTATTGGTTATGTAAACCTTTTACTTAAATAAATAGTTATAGTAGTTTTTTGAATATGTATGTATATTTTGTCTCCTTACTGTTATATTTAGCTGTTAAAAATTTCAATGCAATGTACAAATTAGTGTCATTTACATAATAAGACTGAGATTTTTTGACGCTCTAATTGAAGTGAATATTAGGGACAGGGCACAACACGTTGCGACGTCACACCTACCGTACTACCTCCGACGCCGTTGCGATGTTTTTTCTTTCGATGCGTCATCGCATTTTTCGTTTTCTTTTTTCGTTGCGATGCAACGATATTAAATACCCTAGATACACCAACACGAATAAAATCATGACCGGAACCTGTCCAAAAGGTACATTGGACGATACGTAGAGCTCCGTCAGATAATCGCGTAGTCTAAACAATATAAGGCATTATTTAAACATTGGAAATCATCTTAAAAGCACATAATATAAGGTCTTAATTTAAAAAAAAGCATGCGTCAAAGAGTTATGACAGTCCGAAATGAAAGTTCGTAAAAATTTACGACTTATTGCTATATGCGGATGAATATATACCTAATTTCTTTGATTCTACGCGCAATTCTGAATGCGCTGTTAGCATTATAGCAGGTACGGACCGCGACGAAAAGAGAGGACTATATTTCCGACCATGCATTTGAATATTTCAAATATTTTCTATTAAATCAGTTTATAGTTAGTATAAAAACAAATTTTGCTTCAAATGCGTTAAATTAACAAACATTGATTAGATACCTGTCGAAAAAACGTCATTTTACATACTATGAGTATTTATTTCTAGACTCGCTAGTTGTAATCCTACCCTTCGAGTGTTGGGGTCAGACATTGAACATGTAAGCGAAACCAGGAACTTGGGTATAGTTCAAATTCAAATTCAAACTCATTTATTCAGTCTAGGCTGTTACAAGCTCTTGTGAAAGTCAAACGCTACGCCATCAGTTCGTAAATCTACGGCGCGGGAGACCTTGTACTGAGAAGAACCGGCAAGAAACTCAGCAAGGGCTATTTTTTTCTCCCTGTTTTGTTTCACACAGTGTCGTCAATTGAAAGATGACATCAAAAATTTAATACATGTGTTGATGTCAACTTCCATCACATTAATATTATTAATTATCAAAAGTTAAGTATAACTAGGTACTATTTTTAAATTTAGAAGTGGCGATTAAACAATTTTCAACCAAATTAGCAAAGTAAAACGACAGTCTATTATGTTAAGCCCAAGGTGACTTATCATTTATGAAATCTTTTACAGTATAGTAACCTTTCTTAAGGAGACATGTTTTTATACACACTTTAAACTTATTAAAAGGTAAATTAATTATTTCTTTTGGTATTTTATTATAGTAACATATACCTTGACCCACAAATGAACCAAGAACCTTTTGGAGTCTCAATGGTGGCAATTTGAGTTTATCTTTATTTCTGGTATTGAAATTATGTACATCATCGCGCCTCGTATATAAATTTATGTTCTGACGCACAAACAATATACAATTGTAAATGTATTGAGAGGCAACAGTCATTATACCTATTTCTTTAAATTTATCCCTAAGAGAAGTTCGAGATCCCAAGCGGTAAATAGCTCTTATAGCTCGTTTTTGAAGAATAAAAACTGTTTCAATGTCTGCGGCCGTGCCCCATAATAGAATGCCATACGACATAATGCTGTGAAAGTAGCTGAAGTATATTGTCCTAGCAGTGTCGACATCTGTAAGCCGTCTTATTTTATAAATTGCATAAGCAGCAGAACTTAGTTTACCGGCTAGTATTGTAATGTGAGGGTTCCATTGAAGTTTGTGGTCTAGTGTTACGCCTAAGAAAACGGTTGTATCGACTAAAATTAGTTTTTCACCATTTAGAATTATATCCCCCATTTCAACATGCTTTACATTCGGCAAAGTAAATTTCACACATTTAGTTTTGCTCGCATTCAGTTTAAGATTATTAGAAGAGAACCAGTGAAGTACCTTGGAAAATGCATTGTTTACATCGTCATAATTTGTTTTACACCTGTCAACGTTAAAAATTTGCGAGGTGTCATCTGCAAACAAAACAATTTCACAAAAATTTTCTACAAAAAAAGGTAAATCATTAATGTAAATTAAAAAAGGAAATGGACCTAAAATTGAACCCTGAGGAACGCCTATTTTCACATGAGATCCGGCTGATTTTGTACCGTTAATATCAACTATTTGTGTCCTTTCTGTTAAATATGATTGCACTAATTTTGTGTGTTCGACAATAAGCTGCGTTTTGAGAAACATGTTTTGGGTCTTGTAAGGAGTTGCTTTTATAGGTTAAAAACTTTGTATAAAATTCGGAATTTCCTTACAGAACAAACACGGATCATTTTATGTGAGTCACTGGTTTTATCGGTACTGAATTATGGTCTAGTATATGGTCCTCGTTTGCTTACTAGTACTCAAAGGCTTATCCAGCGAGTTCAAAATGCTTGTATTGTAGAATATCCCTTCTCGAACCCACGTGTCACCATTTCTTAATAGCGCCTCATTATTGAATATGGAGTCACGCAGGCATCTGCATTTGGCAGTATTTATGTTTGATCTGTTAAAATTTAAGAACCTGGAATACCTTTACAAAAAGTTACACATATGCTGTTGCGGGATATTTTTTAGACAATTTTATGTAGAATATTTCCGTCATACATGATTTCTATGTAACTTTAACCATTAAGGCTGCACACGCGACGGAAGCTTAAAAAATGGAGTAACTTCTCCCGTTTTTCCAACATTTCCCTTCACTACTCTGCTCCTATTGATTGTAACGTGATGAAAAGTATACTATAACCTGCCCAGGAGTATGAAGAATAATTGTACCAAGTTTCGTTAAAATCCGTCGAGTAGTTTTTGTTTCTATAAGGAACATACACACAGACAGACAGACAGACAGACAGACAAAAATTTTACTGATTGCATTTTCGGTATCAGTATCGATCACTAATCATCCCCTGATAGTTATTTTGAAAATATATTTCATGTACAGAATTGACCTCTCTACAGATTTATTATAAGTATAGATTATTTAGAAAATTTTATTAACAAATATTGCTAGGTAAATTAATAATGAAGTAAATGATGTTCGTGTATTGTGTTTGTGTGGGACTAGGGAATTACAATGCTAGCTTCGCAGCGTACCTACATCCTCGCGCTTCCTAGGGGCAGTTGCTGAAAATCAGCATTTTGTCTATTAAGGCAAAAACACTGCTGAGCTTCTGCCTATTTGCATCACTGTCACTCACTAATGATTGTAGTTCATACTAGTTATTTAAGAACTGTTAAACTTTTAATCATTTATGTCTGCTTATTATTAATTGTACTAATTTGTGATGCAAATAAATTAATTTATTATTATTTATTATTATTTCGCATTTTTTCACGGAGTTCAGCGGCATGTTGACTTTTCAACGGACCGTGCGTGACTTGAACCAAGAAGTGCTTGAGTCGTGTTCAAGCACGTGGTGTATCTTAGGTGTTTAATATCGTTGTTGCGACGTCGCACCTTAGAAATATACTTACACATCTCGGAATTATACAATGCGCTGTCGGCTGTTTCAATGATTTTTTTGCGTTGCGTCATCGCATCGCATCGTTTTGCTATGCAACGTCAATATTGCGATGCACGTCGCAACGTTTTGTGGTTTCACTCTTAGTAGGATGTCACTAGCAAATAACATACTCTGTTGCGTTTGGATAGCTGCTTCTAGGTTTCTACTACATGGGACATTTTATGTGATAGAATCATTTGAAAAGAATTACACTTCTTGCATAAGATATATTTGCGATTAATTTCACAATAAAAAAACCCTGTCTTAAACACACCCAATAAGTTATTCAAATTTCAATGTTTTATTTAAACACAAACGAAGCTTAAAGGCGTTGTGATTGAATTTCTCTTAAAAGTTATATTGGCAATTTATTTCACTTCGATCCTATGAATTTTTATGAGTCTCAACTCACATCTTGAGGGTGCGCTCCTACGTATGGCGAAGCATAGAAATAATTAACAATCACAAGGAGGGTACATCAAAGTACAGAGAGAGGGTTTTGAAGTGCTTGACAAGCAATCAAGTAAAAATCTGAATAGTTCTGATTCACAAGACCCCTTATTATATGTTAATTTCCCATTGAATTATTCCGCCCCACATTTAAATGACTTTTGTTACATTGCAGTTTTCAATATTCGTAATGAAATTTCAAACGAATTGTTACTAAAATAGATTTTTGTACTGCCATATGAAAAGTTATAATTGTACATTAGATTAAAATTTCATTTGTAACATGCTTTTTTTTAGTGTGTAGTAACTATTGTTTCACCTGCTTTAATTCGAGCTTTTTTTATTACTTTATTAGGGAACAATTCCATCGTACATGATTGTTGTGTAACTTCAACCGATACTTCCTTCGTTATTTTCCGTTTGTGAAAAAAAAACTTTAATGATCTGCTCCTATTGTTCTAAGCTTGATGTTAAATAGGTATAGCTTGAAGCCTTGTTTGATAAATAAACAGTCCAACACAAATATTTTTCAATTGTAACCAGAAGATCCTGAAATAAGCGCGTTCGATCAAAAAAAGAAACTATGTATTCAGCTTTAAGCTGAAGAGATTTTTTTGTTTTGGTGAACCCGCTAATCTTAGGAACTATACTACACTAGTTAACATATAAGTATAGATAATACAAGACATCGGAATTCTTATTGGCTATTCATGATTGGATCTAGAATGCACCTCGTAGACGGAGGCAGTCTCGTCATCCAAGACGCGAGGCAGACGGACGCGGGCCGATACCAATGCATCGCGAGGAATGCGGCGGGCACCAGGGAATCCACCATCGCCACGCTCAAAATACACAGTGAGTCGCTTGCATTGAACGCATTCATACGTCGGATCCCTCCTCGCATTCTAAACATCTATGTAAATCACTCTTGCTTTGATTATTTCATGATCTTCACAATTTACGGTCTATCTCAAAGAGGACAATTAATTTTTATGTTTCTTAAAGTTCATACTGTCACTTTGACTAGAATCATTGAGCTCCGTCTTTACTGAATTAATTTACCAATTTTGTCTGATAGACTAAAATTTAAACTACCTATTAATTATTTATACTAAAATGAAATCATATCATTTTCATAATGAAAGAATATGTATAAGGTAACAGTAGTAGTTTACATTTCATTTCAAAGCAAATATTAGGAATGGAATTTAATATTACCTCTTTAAGCTAGTTCTATTATTGAAGATACAATCTCATATTATACAGAGGATGCTGAATCCAATGTAAATTCAAGACATTCACATAATATTTTAGTGCCGACTCCTATTCGGATCGCCCACAAATTTCGCGCGCTATATTAGCGCTAATTCGACGTTGAATTGTAGCGTTGTCTTTTGTCATGTAATTCAAGGGACATTTCTCGTTGCACAGTTAAGCCTTACTTAATCACGGGCCCCGAGGACGTCGTGGCACAGACTGGCGGTAGCGTGACGTTCCAGTGCCGGGTGGGGGGAGATCCCCTCCCCGACGTATTGTGGAGGAGGACGGCTGGAGGTGGAAACATGCCCCTCGGTCGAGTTAAGGTTCTTGACGATAGGAGCTTGCGGCTGAACCATGTTATTTTGGGAGATGAAGGAGAATACACATGCGAGGCTGAGAATTCAGTAGGTGCTGTTAGCGCTAGTGGCTATTTAACTGTTTATGGTGAGTGGAAATTTCAATACTTCCTACATAAGTATTTATTTATTAGACTATTTTCGATCACATTATTTAAATTATGTCTTATGTGTTATACTTGAATTACAGCGGAGCTTGAGAATAAGCCAAAAACCGTGTGGGGGCTACCCCTTTCCATAGTTTTATTATTATTATATTCTTTAAAACGTAAATAAAGTGCACTTTTTTTAAAAATTCATAGTAATGAGCATGGAGACCTATCCGAGTATCTGAGTTCAAGTTGATTTAATAATCAATATTAATCAATTAGTATTATTAGTTACTATTTTACACATTGTTTTATGTCTATAGTTTTACATTTTATTTCAGACCCACCGTCAATTATGTTGAAACCGACTGCTATATCTGTAGAGAGTGGTTCAGTAGCAACATTCTCATGCTCGTCATCAGGAAGACCTGAGCCGACAATGTTTTGGAGCTTAGAAGGGAATAGAACTATTATTTTTCCTGGCATTTCCAAGGGCAAATATCACGCGTCAGCAGTTATCCATGGAGTCACTGTACTCACAATCAACGTTACAAATAAAAACGACAGTGGTAACACGATAGTTTGTTCGGCGGTCAACTTCGCTGGCAGTTCGTTTGTTAGAGGGAAACTAAGCGTGACGTCAGACGATGACCGCCCGCCACCAATCATAACAAACGGACCCTCTAACCAAACGTTACCTATAAAATCGATGGCAGTTTTCCCCTGCACAGCGATCGGTACACCTGAACCAATCATCGCTTGGTATTTTGAAGGGGAAGCATTAATACAAAATCATAGAAGGAATGTGTCTAATGACGGTACCCTGATATTAAAAGATTTAGATAAGGGTGACAGTGGCACTTACACGTGTGTCGCCTCATCTCCTCACGGTAAATACGTATGGAGTGGAACTTTATTAGTTGATAGCCCCATAAATCCGAACATACACTTTTTTCGTGCTGCTGATATATCGGCTTTGCCGGGACCACCGACGAAACCTCAAATATATAACGCTACTGATACAACTGTAACATTATCTTGGAACCAAAACAACAAAATTGGATCCTCTTCCATACTTGGTTATCAAATAGAGGTATTTTCCCGAGAGACCCTTACCGGGAACAACACGCCAAGGAACTCTAGAGGATGGGTTGTACTAGCAAAAAAGATTCATGCAACACAATATGTGGTGAAATCACTTACAGCGGGAATCACTTATATGTTTATTGTGAGGGCTGAAAATTCGCATGGTTTATCAGGGCCCAGTCAAATTTCTGATTCTGTAACAGTTGGCGAGGATGCAAATATGTTATGGGAAACTGGTGTTTATTCAAACAACACTGAATTCAGAAATAATATTTTGACTGACAACATTGTCGAATTGATAGAAGCAACTCCGATTGATTCTAGAACGATAAAACTTATGTGGGAAATCCTTAATTTCTACTATTTGGAAGGGTTATTCATATATTACAGGCCCTTAGACAATATGACGGTCGAATACGAGATGAAAACTATTTTACATTCCAACGATGTCTCCGGATATGAAATAACTTTTTTGAGAAAATACACAAAATACGAGTTTTTCCTCATTCCCTTCTATAAAAGATTTGAAGGAAAACCATCCAATTCCAGGGTGGCTCAAACTTTAGATGACGGTAAATATACTTGTTTTTTTTATATTCATCATGTATTGTGTTTTATTTATGAAATTGAATAATTTAAAATTACTTTCAGTGCCCGATGGAGCTCCGATGAATATAGAAATGTATATTTTGAATACAACGACAGTTCATTTGAAATGGTCCCCTCCGGAATTGCATTTACAAAACGGTATAATTACTGGCTACAATGTTGTGGTGAACTGGTTAGACATCCCTGCAAACAAATCAATGGTGGCTATTAATACAACTGTTCAACAGGCCACTAGTCTTATTATGACTAATTTGACATCTGGAGTCAGTTATTCAGTACAAATAGCAGCCGGCACAATCGTTGGATTAGGTCCATTTAGCCAAAAAGTCTACCTCAATATTGATTCACGATCTGTCGGGCTGGATCCTTTGTCGAGGTAATAAATAAATGCAGTCCCAAAACATTAAAGTAAGACAGTTCGGAACAAAGTAAATGTCATTGATAAAATACTTTTATTTCATTTCAGATATCCAATAAATGGGGAAGTATCTATAGTGGCTGGGGACTTTGTGATGGAAACATGGTTTTACTTTTTGATAGGAGCTATAATTCTGTTCAAAATAATTGTGATTGGCGGCATTATTTACGTAAGAAGGAATAACATATTTACCAAGAAGACTGCCCTACCGAACATTTATGGTAAATACGTACTGTTATTAAATTTGGTTTCAATTCAAGTACTTCCTGTTCAGTATATTTTTTTTACCTTTTATCCAAAGCCGTTTGAATTCATTTTTCGACGTTTATTTTGTAATGCTGTCACGTTTGGATTAATGTTATAAAGTGTTTACCTTTTGTTTATAATTGATATGAATTTTAAAAACGAAATCACAAAATATATTTAACCTAAAGAACTTTAATTACAATTCTTCGAGCCTGAATCTCGTATATCTGTTATAGTCAGGAGATAACACAAGTCAAAAATAAACAGTTGTGCAGCTTATCTTGAAACGCTTACACTTTTTCCATGGAATCAGCATCAGAATTTCAAAATTAAAAACATTCCTCGGGTGTGGCGGGGTGGCAGGGTGCGAGTGTTTGTTTGATGGAGGCTTTGCCATGCGACGGGGAGGGGCGCTAGATTACTTTCGAGTTGAAAGGTAGTACGAGCCCTCTCTCGTGAGCGCAGTGGATCTCTTTCACTTTGCATTCACGTTCGGGGCACAAAGGAATGATACAAATCCGAGAAATAAAGACCCAGTAAATGTAAATGTTTTCTGTTTTGTTTTCTCGAGGCGATTCGTTTGTCGACTCACCCAGTTACCTTTAAGCCAATTTAGCTCGCTTTGTTTGCACTGTTCCGCGTTTACATCTTTTAAGCCTTTGGTAAACGAAATCATTTGCATTCGATTTATGAAACTGATCCAAGTAATGGATGTTTAATAATAATAATAATAAATAATAAATATTTCCAACACTCACACCAATTAGCCTAGCCCCAAAGTAAGCACTATAAGGCTTGTGTTATGGGATGCTAGGGTAACGGATAGAATACATATACTGTACATATATATGTATATTTATATAGAAATAGATATTAAACATCCATGACTGGAGTACAAATGCTCGTATTCATCACACAAACATCTGCCCCCACCAGGATTCGAACCCGGGACCTCTCGAGTCGGCGACACCATGAAACCCGGCGTACAAACCACTCGGCCACGGAGGTCGTATGTTTAAAGTATTAGTTAACAGCTATTGTAGTTGTGTTTACTCCTTTGTTTAAGATTCCAATGGAACGAGTTTAGTCACGCAGATGAACATTAAGGCGGCAGTGTCTCTGTCACATCCACTGAGCAGCTGTTACAATAAGAACACGGTGACTAAAACTGAATCATTGTTATGGATGGAGAACCAACCCGGACTTTGCATGTCCGGTGGCCAAACAACACAAGGAAAGGAGAAGGCCAATTCTGAATACGATAAAGTTACCCCACAATTGCCCGAATACGCGGAAGTGACGTCTTCAAGGGTCAATGCTAACGATTGGAACACTAGTAAAACTGCCAACTCACCGGCAGCTTATGCGTCTGTAACTTTAGTTGCTAATACAAGGCAGTGTGTCAGTTCATTGGTAAGCATCTCTTTCGTAATTACAATAAGAAATTTAAATCAAGATAATATGAATTATATTCAATGTTCTCATAATATATAATGTGTATTTAATATGAGAACATTATACTAGAAAATCAAGGCAGAATCAGGATATCCTGTATGCTTTTTTTGACCACATTTTAAATTAATTTACTTCACAATTAAAAATTTAAAAGTACTTCTCTTGTTTTTTAACATTATAGTCCTATACATATCCATTTTGTTGTGGTATAGGACTTCCCTTCAATTAAAAGAAGGAGTTGTTACTAAGTTTTGTATTGTAAGTATGAAATATTTGTGTTTTTTTTAACAGGGCTGGTTTCCGTCCGGTGGCAAAAATGTTGATAATTACGAAAACCGGTACGCACCTGACGAGGAACTATACCCAGCAAGTAACGGAGGCTATTACAACAGAAACGTGTACAGCGAAAAATACTTCCAAGGGCATCCCAACGTGTTAAAGTTTTATGATTTACCCTCTTTAGATAAATCTCAGAAAGCTCAATTGAGATACAATCCTAGTATAGATGAGCGAAAAGGTGAAGCGGCGAAGACTGAAGCGGCACAATCGTTGATAGGCCGCACCTACGGTATGAGTTCCAGAAAGAATTCTGAATCGGAGACAACTTACAGAGCCTTCGGTGAAGACGAGTCGGAAGATGAAAACTATGTTGAAGACGGTGGTTACGATGAATTGCACGCTATGCAGCCGCAGCGGCAAAGGCCTCAACACCAATACGAAAGGCCTAATTTTGATAGCGACAATGCAAGAACGTTGGCGAGACTGACGTCATTTAGACGCGGTCAGAAACAGAGTGGCGCTTCCCAGACGTCGCTCGCTCCATCGCATGCACCCCCGGCACCCAATCTTCGGGTGGACTCAGTGACGCGGTAGTATCACGCATTGCCGGCTTTCGGCGACTTGTGCCAAACGGACGTTTAGACCAATACGTCATCCTATAGTCTAGTGGTGTCACTAAAAATATCGCAGTTCTTCCTCACGTTAATTATGCAGTCAAGTGTTTTAATCGTGTAGAGAATTTCGAATTGTTTTAGTGTGTGAACACAAATATTTCAAGGCCTGTTCAAACACAATTATATTTTTCGACTTTGGGCCTAGTGACATTTCTAAACGCACACTGCGATGTATTTTTTTCTCGCATAGTCTAATATATTTTATTTGTAATCTGTAAAGTTATTCCTAGTCGTTGTATAGTGTAAATATTGTAAATATAATAACGTAGAGTTAACTGAATACTATGAAAGGTCTGACTCGGTGACATGTTAAATTATTATTAATTATTATTATAGTGTTCGAAAACTGTGTATTATTATTGAATTTGATATGATTCAATTGATATGTCCGTTTGAATATCAATAAACGAATTTGTATCTCTAATTATATCATTAGATTAGGGATGAAACTATCTGAAACAAATTAACGCTTGGCAATAATTTGGTGGAAGCATACTATATAAATCATTGTATGTTCTGTATATAAATACTACAATTTAGCTTAAAAACAGAATAAATTTATCATTATTTATGTATTTTCAAACGAATACTTTGCCTAAACTTACGTACTTTTATTACACAAATTAAAATTCATTTAATGTAATATAAAATTAAAGTATCTATCTACTTAAGTTCCTAGATTATAATTTTGACGATTTCGTTTGTTTTATTGTGCCATAACAAGCTGTTTATAGCTGTAATTTAAAATTATTAAGTAACATTGGAGTTGTGAAAATTAAATTCAAAATAAACCTTTTTACAAATCTAAAGTTGTAATCTACGTAATATATTGTGATATGAGTTGAATTATGTATAGCCACTTGTTATATCGAGTAAATAGCACAAAACTTGTATAATTGCATATCATGTATATTAGGACTGTATACCTACCGGTTGAGGATTCAAAATTATTGTTAAATCAAGAAAAAGCTTAAACGTTTTTTACTACCAATAAGCACTTGACCAGTGATCACACCAATGCAGATTCATATATCTATTTGTCTTATGTTAAGTAAAAGAAACTTTGCAATATAAGTCTCCTTTTATTTTGTTTTGCAACAGCGGCCTTTTGTCAAATTCAAACAAAACGAAATACAGATATTTGTTTCAAACACTTCTGATGCACGTTATTAGATAATGTCAATGAAACATTACACGATGATGGATCTCAAAATTTTTCCTTTAATTTTTTTAATTTTACCTATAGAATTTTTTGTTCGTATATTTATCGAAGACTTCAATTAATGACCCGAATTATATCCACGGTCAGTTCATTTGGTATAATTTCATTTTTAAACTGTGTTGAGTCTGTTAATTTGTTTTTAATTTGCATAACACGAGTATCAGTGTTCTAATTGTGCATATTAGGTTCAGAGAAATGTACATTTATATTCTAATCTTTAAAACCTTCTTCTTCTCTCAATTTTAACATTTTTACAAATAAAAGACTATTTTAAGTATTTTATACTTACATAATGACCGATTTGTATTTTGAGGAAATTTCAAGCTAATGGCCTCTGTTGTAAAACAAATGAAATCTCACAAATAGAATGCACAACCTTTTTGAAATAAGTCTTTTTTTGTAAATAAATCTTTTAAAGTTGACTGCCTTTTAGCTTCAACTTAAAAAAAAGACGTTATTGCCAACAGTATTAATTCATATGATAAAATACTCTTAAACGGGTTAAAGTGCGTTTATTTTAATTTCGTATTGTACCTACAGAGCTTCACGAGCTTACACCACAGTATAGATAGTACAGAAGGTAATCTACTTACAAAGTGCGCTCGAGCAACGCACAAATAAATACTGCTCACGGACACGATACCTCAGATCGATTGGGACTAGTGCGGGCGCGAGTTTCATCTGCTTGAGACACGTGAGCGTGACTATGAACTTTTATGTGCAAAAATTGAGCAACAAAAAAAGTTATTATAACTGTTCAATGGGCTGTTGTTTGAATTCAACATTAAATAGTGAATTGTCATTTTTTAGGGTTCCGTACCTCGAAAGGAAAAAACGAAACCCTTATAGGATCGCTTTGTTGTCCGTCCGTCTGTTTGTCAAGACCCTTTTTCTCAGGAACGAAGCTGAAATTTATATTGAATACTCAAGTCTACTGTCCCTTAGAGTTGTGAAAAAATTAAACTTCTAAGCCAACGCAATCAAAAGATACAGCCATTTATACCGCAAATTTTCGAAATTTGCAAGGGAATCAAAACTACAGGCTACTTCCCGTGAGCTCAGAATCTTGAAATTTTGTACGAAGCAACGTCTTATAGCACAGATAAGGGAAAATTCCGAAAACCGTAAATATACTTACAGATTTGTACATAACTCTTGTTTCGCGAGTCTGACTCGCACTTGACTGTTTTATTTTAATTTGTAAGTAATATAAAAATAATGTTTAGTTATTTTAGGTTTATATTTCCATTCTTCTGCTCAACAATAGATCAAACAACTCGAAACGTACGCGTCCCACTACCACGATTATTTGTGCAGAAGCTAAAGTTCGATTAATCCTAACGCGACCGCCGAACGTAGCCGTGAATAGTGTAAAAGTATATATGAAGTATATACATAAGATTGCCTTCTGTACTATACATTTTGTGCTTACATAGATGCTACACCTCGTAAAGGGTTCATATAGTCTATAAAGTTTAAAATTTTATGAATAATATAGGTCCATAAGTACGTTAGTACGCCCATATTCATAGCTTTACTTTAATGTATTTCAAAACATTTTGTCCGTGGACTTAAACTGCACAAGAAAATTAGTAAGTTTTAACATACGTACTAGTCCTTTTAGAGGACTAGAACTTAATAAATAAAAATAAACGCCTTTTTAAAACACGTTTACGAGTGTTTTATTAATATTTTTAAATCTAGCAGCCAAGTATGAATTTAATTGTAAGATACCTTGCTTCATCTTGTTTAAAACACGTGCCATATTAAATGTAGGAATAGTTGCGAGTCGACAGCAAATTTCTAGTAACTTTATATTTTTTAATTATTACAGCTCTAGTAGGTACAATGTTACGAATATACACTTGACTACTTATCAGACCATTATCATTGGAAAGACTTGTATAGTTGAAATACGAGGAACTCTTACTAATGGAATTGTCTCTAATAGATTACATAAAATACTGTTACTTTCATGGTTACAATTTTTAGCAGAGTGTGGAGAGTTTCTGTGAGTCTATTAAATACAGCGTATTTTAAAAGCTTAAAATTAACTGTGAATGCCCACAATGTTTGTTACTCATTTATATCTACGAAGGTCAATAATTTTATATAAAATACTTTTAAAAATACATTAGCAAGGTGTCTATCATTCATAGTTGGAATAAACACACTATACCTATTTGGAAACAAAATAAGGCCTATTTTTGTGTGCAAGGTACTAGGAAAATAGCTGAGTTATGAAAACAATAAACGAAGATCCTAATACTGATTTTCATTTTTGTATTAGTCTTTGACAACCTATTTTTAATAAAATAATTTGAACTACTAATTCAAGCTGAATTTTATTGTACACACGGCAACTTTTAAAACCTTTTCCACAACACATCTTCCAGTGCCTATTTTTAACATTCTATTCTCCGTAATGGTAAGCATATCAAGTAACAAAGCCACTGTTGTTATTACTTGAAAGAAGTGCTTGAAAATTTCAACTTATTCAGATTTTTTTTAGAACAGAGGTACCATGATTTTATTTATTTTTTAAGCATTGAACTGCTAGATGTTTAAATCTAAAGAAAAGTTTACTAGAAAAAGGTAAAGTAAAGTAAAAAAGAAGGATGCGGGTTCGAGTCCCGTCCGCTGCCTGGACCGCGTGGATTTTTTTCTAGTAAACTTTTCTTTAGATTTAAACAGAGGTACCATGTTTTATTTTTATCTAGCGTATTTAAATTAAAGTCATGCGTACGTTAACCTGCACTAAACTAAACACATTGATAGCTTATTAATAAATTTAAGAATAATTAAAACAAAAAATATACTATAACAATGAACCTAAAACTAAAAACCTTAAAAAATAAAATATAATAACTAAAATGCATTATTAAAAGGAGACCCTTTAGGCAAGGTTCCGAAGATACTGGCAGCGTTCCCCCTTTGGATAGCTAGACTAATTCTTTGTCCGAGGTAGCTGCCAGCTCTTCGGTCTCCTGTGATGTCGACTAATCTTTTCGCTATTTCTTTAAAAAGCCTTATAGCGCTAGGACCCCACGGACCAAGGGTCTCGAAGCCGAATGGGACAAAATCATATTCGGAGCTTAGACCCCTGTATTTGCCCGCCTTAGCTTTTTCAGCCGCTTCACAAGCCGCACCAGCTCTGTTGTTGGTTCCATGTAGATGGGAAGGGGCCAGCGTGTCTGAACAGGTTGCATCCCATACTAACACCTGACCCAAAATTAATTAATTAATTGCTATGACTACTAAGTCCGAGTATAAATTAGAAACGGAAAGTTTCTGTCCATTTTGGAGTGTCTTCTAAATAGTCTTTAATTTAACACAATATAAAAAATACTGTTGTCCTATAGTAATTCAGAAGAGTAGATGGAGCTCACATACAGCAATGATGATTGGTGATTACTTAGTAACAAATAAAATAAGACTTAATCTTGAATAATGCAGAATCAAGAGCTAAGCGAGAGGCTTCCAAAAGATCTGAAAGTTACATAAAAATAATGAGTAACTTTTAATGAAATAAAGGTAGAATATTATGTATCCGCTTAAAGTCAAATCTACGTGAGTTTGCATCTAATTAAGGTAACTCATTGATAAAGTTCAAGGTAAGTTTAACGTAAGTACTTTTAAAACATGGAAATATTTTTTCGTAACAACCGTAGGCGTGTACATATTTTTGTTACTTTTTG